GTTAATTTGACTTGCTTAAAAAATAAAGATTATTGATTACATTTTGATTTCATTACAAACAGGAACTTAAATTGATGGATTTTGTATTGTAGCGCTGTATTTTGTAGAGCTGTATTTTTTGGGGGGGCGACAATACTGGTATTTAGAAGGCGGTACATAAACAGTCGGAGAAAAGCCAAATAATATTGTACCATATATATAGAAACTTCCAGTTAAAAGGTTGGTATTTATAGCCAGCTAAATAGTTGTACACAACAATACTTTGCTTCCAACATTCGTGTAACTTAAACAAAACACGATCGGACACTGTTATTATTTTAAAATTAGGTAAAACAAATGGCAAGTTGTTTTTTAAATAGGCATGAGTGATGTCTCGCTTAAGAAAAGGACATGGTGTCACATGTTTATAAGCTGATACCTAATGCCTGGCCTTTGTATATTTCCACTGCTTAACATACTTTAAATAATATCAGCAACTGCAGCTAAGCTCCAAATAAATGAACTGAGGTTTGAATATTGAAATGAGGAGTTTGAATCCCATACATGTGCTAAAAGTAATCAATGACCTGAGGTGTAACTAATGCTTTATAGAAGTAGATTTGGATCAAGATGTATAACAATGAGATGCACAACTAACAAAGCCTCATAAAGCACTTGATTCTATGGCCTTTTGCATAACATAAACATGTTTTTTTTAGGTATTAGTCATCTTTGTAGTGATTTTTAAAGCAGTTTGCAGAAACACTGAGGCTGTAAATGGCATTGTTAATGCAGCTAGAAGTTTCAAGAGTCATCATTACAAAGTTAGACGGATCTAGCCGTTTATATAGCTTCCGGTTCATCATGTTCGCTTCAAAATAAAAGCCTATTTGTAAACGTTTGTAAAAATTTGATGATATAAGAATCTACTCTTTAAATTATTAAAACTGACTCAAATGCGTTTTGGGGCCCAAAAGTACATATTACACGGAAAACATGTTATAACAATGTAATCCATCATCAGTAAGTGCTGCTTTACAGTTCAATAACGATCTAAAGAAAATTGCGAAACGAATTTTTGTTTAATACCTACCTAAACCTGTATAAAGACGACCATTAAAATTCTACAGGACCATTTCTATATTTAATGTAAAGTACCCATACCTATAACATATAATTCCCACATTCTAATTGTAACGGGTTGATTGATTTTATAGGATTTTTTTTTAACGATTGCACGAGAAAATAAAGTAATCTTATCAGCTTGTTGAATCTGTATGGTGGCTTGTAAGCGCTAAGAAAAATGTTAACTAGTTACAATTGCGGTAAGGCTTTTATTTTGAAAGCAGCAGGAAATGGTAGTGAACAGTTGGGCTATGACAGCGAATCAATAACAAGCAGAGCAGAAAACTTGCTAACGTAGGTACCGCTGTGATCACAGAGCACCTGCAAAAAACATGCAAATCAATTCACCATGTAATAAACTAAAGAACCCCCCGTAGGTCCGCTTATATGTAAATAAAAGTGCGCGGCTCATGCTGTGAGAGAGACAGCGTCCACCTACCTCCTGCTCAGTATCTCCCTGTTCCGACACCCCGATCTCGCTGGGCAGCTCGGCCAGATCCGTCACCCGTATGAGTCCGTCATGGAGAAATATCGTCTCCTCCTTTACCGAAAGCCATTGGGACGAGTCCACAGCCCCGGAGCCCATCACTCTCTCCTCCGACAGTGATGCCGAAAGAGGCAAACATTAAAAATTCAGTGACAGAGTCAGAAACGCCCCAGTCAGCTTGCTAGCCACCTACAATAACATAACTGCCCTGTCGCAGTCTTATCTGACAGCGGAGCAGAACCCGGCGCTGAGAGGAATAAACACGACAGCCTGACAGTGTGCAACCAGGGGCGGTAGCTCCACTTTCACTACATTACTGCCGAGCCAAGGGCTGCTTTTGCCTGGTTGCCTTAATTAGCTGAGCTAGCTTACCGTACGGTACCGTTTTAATGTTACTGACCACAGTGGGCGTGACACTCGCTCTAAAATCCGTTACAGCGTCGCTGTTTGCAGAATAGTCCATTCATGGCCCAAACTGCATCTCTGACTATCTCGTTTCACCTTTAAACCATCACCAAAGAAAGCTACGGTGCCGCTCCAGCCGCTGTGTCAGGAGTCTGCAGAAGATAAACGGCAGTTACCAGGCCATGGCGGCTCCCAGCATGCATCGCGCCAGAAGAATCGTTGTCTAGCTGTCAAATATTCATGAACTCATTCATACCTACGACAAAGCTATGATGCTTTTAATGTATGTATATTTTTCGGAGTAAGAAAACACTTTTAGGTCAAACAGGATATTTTTTTTTGTTCAAAACAGAGTTAAGATGCAGAAAAATCAAAAAGCTTTCTCTGAATCTCAGGGGCGGAGCTAGATGGGGGGCCAGGGGTGACCATGGCCACCCTTAGCCAATCAATGGCCACCCCTACCATTTTATTCCCTCTAATACAGATGGATATGGAATAATTACGACATTTACATTTTTTTCATATATTAACAAGCAAAACAATGGTTAATTCTGCACATCAATATACTAATATTAAAGATGATAAGTACAGATTCATGCTTTTTTCAGAACTATATTTTGTGCTATATGAGGTAAAGAGAAAATTATGTATCTCTGCAAGTCATCTAAGAGTCCTCAGTAAAATTATTGAAAAATAGCTATTTTAATAAAATGTATTAAATAATCAATTTATGTAGATATTAGTACTTGTAAATATCAATTTTATGCAGAATGATTATTGATAAAAGTTGGTAAGTAATGACAATGGAAAAGATGTTCGTCCAAAACTCAAACCTCACAGAATTGTATCCACTATACCTTTTATCTAGAAAGCACAGATGTTTAAATATTTATGTGTCTATTTGTCTGCAAAGGTTGTAGAAAAGTATAGTTAGTCTTTATTTAGAAAATATTGATATTGTGCCCATTAATTTGCCTGTTGTAGATTGACCCTGAGGTTCTGATGCCTATCAACTTTCGGCCACCCCCCAGTTTACATAGGTTATTATCTGGCCACCCTTATAAAAAATTTCTGCCTATGCCTCTGCTGAATCTTTGCCTCAATTCCAATTTAACCATAACATAAATATCTTGTCACGTTGATCTAAATCATAAACCATTAATTTATAATTTTATCCTAACATTCCAACAAGTAATTTTCTAATTAATTAAATAAAGTCATAGTACATGTTAGTTCATGGTTCCATCATTAAACTCTAGCTCCCAACAACCAGCAGCTATACTTGCACAACCATAGTTGGCTGTCGTAAAGACACACTTGTCATTGTTGTGGACACCTGATCGCTGCCCAACACGCTTGTCACCATCTAACCCAACTAAGTTTATCTTGGTCTCATCAGACCACATGACATGGCTACAGTTTGTTTTTAGCACACTGCTTGTGTACTTTTTTTTTTTTTTTTGCATGAACTTTAGTATAGTCTTGGATGACACAAATGCAGTTACAGTCGATGTAGTGAGTGGCATATGGAACTTTCATGCAGAGCTACCCCTTTAACCTCCGGAGCAATGCTGGTAGCTCTTATCTGTTCTCAAAAAATTTACCTGTGGTTATGACGCTGTTCATTCGGTTTCTTTGGTAAGCTATGGTGGGTTCTGGTCTGAAGTCAACCCATCCTGTTGAACTGTTTAATGGTCTTGGCAACTGTGTTGCAGCTCAGTTTCAGGATGTTGCAACCCTGTTATAGCATGGCTATCTTTATGTAGAGCTCTTCAGAGAGTTCTTTGAGTTGAAGTGCCATGCTAACCTTCCAGTTACCATCAGAGGTGGTTAGAGTGGCCAAATATAATTTCTAGTTAGACATAGAAACCAGAATTCAAGCTTTTGCTTTAGTCAGTCCCAAAGTTGTTCTACTACAAGGTTATGGTTAGACTGTGCAGGCCAGTCAAGTTTCTTTAGACCAAACCTTATCCACTGACCAGCAAGTAATTGGAACATATTTTGATTTGGTGTTAAGACCTAATACTTTTGACAATAAAGTGTATGGAAGAAGAGTGCAAAGCTCAAGGCTTAATAAGTCTCAGATGCATATTGAAGGATTGATACTGTAGAATGATTATATAGGGTATTTGGTGCTGGTCCTTAAGGTCTCTAAATAGGGTTTGTAACATTGGTTGGGCTGAAAATGGCAAATTTGCTGTTCTATGAGCCCTAAAGTAAGCCTGGTTAGAAGCCCCAGAATCTTCCTTTTATGGTATGCTCATGAATATTTAGATGAGCTGTGTGCTGATTGGTTATATTACAATGAGCAAAGCTGCTGAGCAGATATGCAAACTCCATGCACAAAGACTCTGGACTGGGAATCATACCCAGAACCTTCTTGCTGTAAGGCAACAGTGCTACCATAGCCCCTAAAAAAAAAAAAAAAAAAAAAAAAAAAAAAAAAAAAAAAAAAAAACATTTTCAAAAGTGTACTCAAGTAAATGTGAATAAATAGTTTCTACACAGTTCTGGTTGCAAATATGAGAAACTGTTAGAGCCGAAACACCAAAGCCATGACATCTAACCCCATCCACACCTGAGACCTTGTTAAAAAAAAAAAAAAAGACATCAGCGGTTATAAATATGTTGACTTATTTTGAGGGGAGAGAAGATTTGCTGTGCACTGGCTACTTTACAATGTATATAAAGTGCCATGTTGTAAATGCTGTCCCCTGAAAAGGGTATAAATAAGCTTTATACGAAAATCAAAGTGGTTTCTGCTTTAATTACATTTTATCTACATGTTTTCTTTTTGATGATTCTGCAAAGAAATGTGTTTGAAGTTAAACGCAAACAGCATAAAAACATTGTATTGTCTGTGGAAAAACAGATCCTCTTGGAAAACCTCTTGGTTTAAGTTGGCTCTAAGTTTTTTTGGTTTGCAGTGCTGGACTGGACTACAAAACCCACAAAATGTGACAACATAAAGATAAAACATCCTTATGGAGGGTCAGTTGGGTCAAAGACGTGCAGCTTTTCCCATTTTATTGATGTGTAAAATATCAGTTGTAATTTAAGTCATTTGGCCTCTCTGGCCTTCTGTATGCATCAGAGATGCTCATCAAAGTTTTGACTCACTCTTCACATCAAGAAACCAACACTGGACACATCTGTTTGGCGGCCAATGGTCTTATAGGTATCAAAAGAATGAACACATTTCTGTGAGGGAAAAATGAGGGAAATGCATCTCATTATTTTAATAGTCAAAAATGGAATGATCTTCAAAATAATAGCTCTGTATGTGATGAAGATCTAAGCAGCGTCGTTAGTGTGCTTAGTTCAGTCTTCTATCATTTGATCTGTGGCATAATATCAGCTCTCATCTGCAGCCTTAGGCAATACTTATAAAGATGAATGGGAATCTTTTTTTTCCTGCCACTCGCTGAAACTCTCATTGCAGCAAAGTCTTTGTCTTCTGTCTTCTTAAGTGCTTGATGTAGGTCAGAGGCTTTAGAGAAGCCTCCAGAACATCTAGAAAAAAGAGATATCAAAAATTATAAAGTTAAACCAGCTTAATAACCTGTTTTACAGACAATGTTTGTAAATGTTTGAAACGCTTTTAAGCTTTCAAAATAAGACACTGTATTTGTTTAACTGTGCTTTAATTTGTAATGCCTCCTTTCAGCACAAGACCTTATATGTTAGATGACATGAATTGTTGTTGGGGGTAGGTCCTTTTAAGTTCTTGAACTTCTACCTACTCCTTTTGAGCACTAAAATGTCTTAACATCTCAATGTAAATCTTTCTTGTATTGTTCCTCAAAGAAATTGAAATGAAAAAAAAAAAGTTTTCCAACAAAAGACTCGTTCTCTCATTAAACATAAACGGAGACATAGCTTTAAACAAGCACTTCAGAGCCTCACACCTTTTTATGCGACCACATTTTTTTTCCTTTGACAGAGTGAAGCAGTCTTGAGAGACAAATTCCTCCAAGAGAGGGCGAAGAAGACCTGGTTCCTTCAAGCTTCTAATTCGAACGGCCAAACTATGGAGATGCAAATAAAATGCAAGAAAAATTATTAATTTTTTCTTCAATTTGACAATTTTTAAAAACAGCAATAAAGTCATCAATAATGAAAGCATACAACAAGCAGGTATTGGACTCATGGTGTATTATAGAAATAATGATACTTACGGAATCACAACCATGAACTATTTTTGTATTTGGGGAGGAGAGGATGTACACCTTGGACAGGTTGCCAGTTTATCATAAACCTCCGCATGCACGCACACATAACTGAGGGAAACTTATATTAACCAGAAGCAGCAGTATCAATAGAGAACCCACACCTATGTATGGAGAGAGCATGCAAGTCCATACGGAAACACCCTGGAATGAGATTTGAATCTAGGACCTTCTTGCTTTATGGTGATTCTAAAAATTGCCATGCTTTTTTTCTCCAGACCACAAAAAAATCCCAATTAAATGCATTTACAATTGTGTTTTCATAAAAAAGTGAACATTTAAAGCAGAATGCATACTGCTGTATGGACAAAATTAATTTGTGAACATACAACAAATTGTACTTTAGACTGTGTAAAAAAAGTTATTCTAAGGAAGATTGGAAATTAGGGATTACTCTGGGTACTCTGGTATGAACAATGTCTGCACTGTTTCATTATAAAGCAAATAAAATAAAGAATAGAAAGGATTACACATTTTTTTGGCTGACAGCAAACAATGCAAGGGAAACAATAATCATTAATCAGTGAAAAATTTCATTTTTTTGCAAGAAAATATATGTTGATTTGCTATTTGAAATTTCTCTTTTAAGTCGTGGTTTACTGATCACTTCTTATTACAGTTTACTGCTTGATATTTCTAATCATTTAACAAAGAAAGGAGGATCTTTTCCCTGTTAAATTTTATTCATAATGGCATCATTTCCTCACTTGTAAGACAACCTCCAGGTTCAAAGCATGGAGGTTGCTATCTGCTAAATGACAACAGTTTCAGGCTTTTTTCAGGGCATTCAAAATGATATCTGCTCAATAAATAAGTTTTAAGGGCCAATTTAATCAATTCACATAAAGGAATGCAAAAAAAAAAAAAAGATGCACCATATAGAGAAAAGTGAGAGAAGCATCTTACCGGGTTATGCATTCACAGTGATAAGCAGTCTTGGACCCCATGTTTGTAAGATTATATTTCTTCTCAAATGGAGGAATTTTAAGCACACAATCATCCAGGTGTTTGAGGCTTCTACACTGGAGGTTTTTATCTGCTGGCATAATTAAACAGACAGAAAAAATGAACGTGTTTATCTTTCAGAGAGATTCAGGCATTGAAGTAAACTGTCACTCTAAAATGAAAAAGTTTTTCTGCAAAAACCAGGAACCACCGAGGCTTTAGCCTCATAATTGGAAGAGACTCAAACATAGAGAATCAAGTTTATCATTAGCATGCACCTAGAGGATGTTAATCAAGAAATAAGCACCTATTCCAAACATGAGGTCCAAAAGCACAATAGATATCACCAGCTGTTCACATGTTTCCAATCACTTTCTGGAGAGAATTATTAGTTATTTATGCAAATATGGTTTGGGGCTCTATAAACAGGTGCATATAAGTAAATTTGAGTAGGTCTTTATAAGTGTTGTTATTAAAAAGTAGTTTAATTAAAAGTAAACTGATAATAACTTTTGAGCACATCTTTGGTAAAAATAAAGTATTTTTGAATTGAAGCGAATAAGCATAGCTGTTATGAATCAACATTTCTGTGATAAATAGTTTCTTTCATTTGTCTGAATTAATATTCATAGCTTTATTTTCATTAGTTTTGGACGAAAATTTTTTAATAAAAATTAAGGCTTTAAAAGCTCAGCCTGTGTGTTATTATTCTATATAATGTGTTTTACTCATAGAGGTAAGCTACTTAGATAACAAACTATTCAAACACACTTCAATATATTGAGATGCACCTGTTTATTGGACCTTGGATACATGCTTTGGGCTATATAGTACGTGAATTTGAGAAAATCTGCAGTACATTTAAACACGCAAACTGTTATTTCATTAATTGTTGTTCTGATTAATTGTTCTGTTCTCTGTTCTCTAATTAATTGTTCTGTTCTCATACCAAATAAAAAAAAAAAAAACAGGTATTTTAAATCATCGAATTAAAACAAAATTATTCATGATTACCGGTAAGTACACATTTTTACATTTTTGGGGACTGTGCATGTCAGAATAAAAAAATTGGCAAAGTTTTATAATGTTTTGTTCTTTAAAGCAATTCTTACATTTTTTATAGTGTTTAAAAACTCATCTACCAAATAAATCCCATATCAAAAGTGTAACTAGTACATATAACCCTCAGGCCATAAAGGTTTATATGCAGGCGTTTCATTTTTTGGTTGTGTAACAAGACTTTTTTTTTTACTCCGTGTTCCAGAGAAAATTGCCAGTTGGAGGAAATTATGGTTTAATTATTGGTCTCTGCAAGTAAGACATATTTTTTCTTCCCCATATTTTTCTACTTAGGTTGCCTTTTGATCACTGATACCAATTAGCTGATTATAGCTGCTGCACAGACCTTTACCAGCGACCGAAGGGCAGAATTTACTAGTCGGCACTGAAGGAGGACTGCAGATGAAAGATTCCTTGTTTTCCAAGTAGTTTAAAGAAACCATAACTTTTAGTTGCTTCCTTTAATCCAATTAAAGCATTAAATGATGCATTTAAATCTATACACATTTAAATTACTTGTTTTTTTTTTTCTAGATTTTTCTTGATAAACACTTACTCGTCCCACCACTTCATCCAAGTCAAAATAACTGCCTTTGTCATGAACCTATATTTGATATGACAAACTTTTCCCTCTAAATTCCTGTCACTTTATCATCTTACAGCTCTAAACTCTGGTAGTCAAAGTGTCTTTCATAGTTGCCATTTAATTAATCAGTAGACCGTTTTCCCCCTTAACTGATTTTGATCAGAGGAGGAAGTCAAATGCTGAAAAAAAATAATTATGCCCCATAATTTTTGGGAACTAAATGCTCAAACCAACAGGATGTAGGCATGTCAGAAATACTCTTTATTCTATTGAGAATTAGATCAAATTTAGAAAGAGAATCCTGGATTATTATTTGCTAAGATCTTTTACCTGACCTGATTACAATAAAACAAAAAAGGTCCAAATACTGCTTATAAAAGGTAATGTAATATTTGACTCTGATGTGATTTATTTACAGATCATCTATTATTTAATAACTCCTAAAAGCCAGGCCATCAGAAGGTTTTTTTTTTTTTTTTACAATTATTTAGACCTTCAAAGAGATAATTAATCAATACAAATATTGGAAGACCAGACTTTAAGACCAGAGATCAACATGGCCCATGTGGTTTTATTTCTATTCAATAGGCCTGTGAACGTTTAGCTTTAAAGGTGAGACTGAAAAAAGCAGCCAAATTTACTCACCAGCTATATTCCGCTTCTTATTTTTCTCCAGGCTTTTTTCTGAAAGATTCCTTTGGTTGGAACTACCACCAAAGATATTCTGACCTGCTTTCTTCGAAGCTGATCCCCTTGGATGAGGAGAAGATGCATTCTTTTGTTTTGTGATGGGTGTTGCAAAAGTGGCTGCATTCCTAATAGTGGTCAGAGCTTCTTGCTTGGGTTTTCCTGTTTTATTTCTAAAATATCTTTTCTTATGATGGGCTGGTAATTGTTTTGTTTTTGTTGGTTTGGCAGCTGTTGAGGGAGATCCACTAGGTTGTAAACAGCTCCTGCATTGAAGGGGAGACGTGTTCCTGTTGGATTCACAGCATTTACTCTGCTTTGGTTGTTTCTTCTTACTTTTTGTTTTCTTTAACTCTTCTTTAACTTTTGTTAAGTCTTTCTGAGGACTCGGTCTCAGTGTTAAAGCTGAGACACTTGACGGTGTAGTTGCTGGTGATATTTGAACCGAGGTGGTGGTGGGGAAGGTTGTTGGAATGTTGGTTTTCTGAGTAAAACCAGAAAACTCATCTCTTCTATTCTTCTTTCTATCTCTTGTCCAGTTTTTACTTTTAGAATTAGATATCTTTGTGGGTTTTGTGGACACTTGAGAAGATTCCTTTTTGAACAGTTTCTTGTTCCTTTTGCAGCCCCTTCCCTCTGTTCTTCTGCGGTGAAACGTATCTCCTCTGGGTGGGTCTCTGAGGCCACATCTGTGTTCAGATTCTGAAGCCTTCCTTTGAGGGTTTAACGAAGGCATCTCAGATACATTCTGCTCTTTACTGCTTGTTAAATTCTTGCTATCAACATGTTTGCCTGTAAAATCAGAGCTGTTGTAAGGCAGGGCGGCTTTGAAGATGGCATATGGAGCCTCTTCAGCCTTTTTGCACCTAGAGTGAGAAAAGATGCATGTCGAACGATTACATGAAGAAAAAAATGGATTTTTGTTAGTATTATTATTATTATTAGTAGTAGTAGTAGTAGTAGCAGTAGTATGAGACTGTCATTGTCCGCTTTTAATGATTCAATAGAGAAAATCACATAATTTTTCACACTTTTACTGCAAACAGGTTCTAATATCAACTTTTCAATCTTTTTTTTAAACAATAACCAGTGTTTAGCTTATTTCAGTTTCATTAACATCCAATATCTACACTATCAGCAAAAAATAAGCCTAATATTTTAAGCAGAATTTACTAGAGCAATCTGATGATATTTAAATGTATGAACTCTTGCCCTACATGAGCTCCGGAGAAAACTGGTTCCTTCTTTTGACCCCAGTAAGATCCTTTGATCGGGAAGAAAAAAAAACTATGCTAAAAGTGTTATGGTTTAAATTTTCTTTGTATATCTAGAGGATTTTATTCATAGGGTATGACATATTCTAGAAAAGAAGATAGAAGGAAAGTAAAGAATATCAGGAGTCAATGATGGCTACTTGAAGGGCTGATAGCCAGATAGGCATTATATCAGAGGTCTGCAGACTTTACAATCAGCCATTAATCTCCTCAGATCGCTTATTAAAGCTCATTTAAAACCACTAATGTAAAATGATATTTACAAAAAAAGGCAACTTATAATTAGTGCTGAATAATTACTACAGGAAAAACAACATGATTTGTTAAATAATTATTATTTTATTTGTATTTTTTTAATTTTAGAAAAAAGAAAGAAAGAATATTTTGGCAAACAGAGGATACAGGTACAATTCCTTTTTGATAGGATTTTGAAATTTATGCAAAGATAGTTAAAGCTCTGAGTTTCCAACCTAATTGCAAAGAAAAAGATCCTGAAGACTGGGACTGGTACTTTTTCTGGTGCTGTTTTCGAAAAATAAATCTGCTATTATGTGAATTTGTTAATATGTCGATATTTATAAATAATATAAAGCTTAGATTTTTTTTTTTTTAATCTTAGATTTTTTTTTTTTTTTTTGTCAAAGTTCTTTAGAGCCACATGGAATGTCTAAAGAGCCAACTGTAGCTCCAGAGCTAGAGGCAGTGCTGCACCCAGCACTGTGCCAATGTAGCGTTTTGAAAAGCTCCAATCACATTTCCACTCCTTAAAGTGCAGCAGTGATGAAATGTAAACAGTGGGGGGAAAAAAATGGTGAAAAAAAAAACAACACATTGATATGGAAGTTCAGAGCATTAAATATATATGGTACAATTATGCAGTGTTTTGGTCTGGTGTCCTCCTCCTCTGGTGGAGGACTTTCTGCTGATGATTCAACTATTTGCAACAAAGAGGTTAAAATTCATCCAAATTTCAAATTACTTATATAGAAAGAGCTGTTAGCATGTTAAAAAAAATGACTAGTATAAAAAGTCTCTACATGACTGCAGTGTGATTAACATTGAGGGAGAGTGGTCGTTGATAACAGGAAGGAGGAATGAGGCCACATTGCTCTGCTTGTCCTTTTGAGCATTAAATTGCTTTCTGTCATGGAATAAGAAATATTGACAGCCAGTAGGAAATCCATAAGTATCTATTGTGTGGATTACACAGGAAGGGCTAAATCTGCTAGTTGTTGATATAAGATGCAAATGAAAAAATTTAAATCTGATTTTTCATGTTATTTTTCTTTTTAGTATGAATAAAACTTTATTGAAAACTACTTTCATGCACACGTTCTGTTGTTTGTTTTTAAGAGATGGCTACAAGAGGACTAAAACATCTAAGCTCTTGTCCTAAATGTTCTTATTTATAAGCTAGATAAAAGAATCCAGAAGTTTTCATCTTTATATGAAATCCCCCTTGCACTCATGATCTAATAACAGAGCCCCATGTATCCTTTTGATAAACTTGATTCACTGCTAGAGCTTATGCTGCATTCAAAAATGATGTAACGCTTTTATCATTCTCATGATTACAGGTGTAGTAATTGAGCCAAGATAGTTTAATTGGAGTTTATTTTGTGAGTTCTGGAGAAATATGACCTATTTCAACATAACCATAACTACACTACATTAAAGAGCATCTTGTTTTCCCTTAAGGAAATGTTATGCCTTTAAGTATACAATCATAGCTCCAAGCAACAGTGTGTTTGTCTCCCTTACATTCCCCACCAGTACATGTGGGTGCAGCGCTTCACCGGCTTCAGCTCAAAGCAAGGAACCTTCAGGATGTTGAAGAAGCTGTAGCCCACCATACTCGAAATGCTGTCATTCATGCCCAGAAGGCACTGTCGAAACCTGACACACAGAGAGCAGGAGAAGCTTAAGGAATTATGCAGTCATTCAAATACCTCAAAATTCTTCTCTCCTTACTTATTTTATTGTTGTTGTTTTTTTAAGATCTTACTTGTTTGAGTTGAATAACCAACTGTGAAACAGTTTAACTTGGAAAGTAACAATTTATGTAATTTATTAGAGGGGATGTCAGATCAAAATATGCACCTCCATCAATATATATGACATTTATGGGGGGAAAGAAATGCTCATCGAATGATTAAACGAATAAAAATAATTTACTCGTAAAGAAAAACCATGCCTGAAAGACTCATGAATGAATGAAGTAAAACTTACCAATAACAGTCCAGGATATTTTTTAAATTTAAAAGTTCTTTTAAATTTTTCACCAAAAAAAACAAATAATGTGGCACATTCCAGCCATGTAATATGAGAAAGTAAAGCTTTCAAAAATTTGGCTCCAAGCAAATATTTCCTTAAACCTCCAGAGCATTATGAGGGGAAGTGATTTACCACTTGCAGGAGTTTACCTGGAAGGGACACATCTGTGCAATCCAGACTCAATTTCTATGTTTCTCTGGGTCATTGTGAGACTCACCTTAGGTCACACTCACAGTGTGAGACAGTGAAGAAGTTTGGGTTGAAGACTCCATAATTTACTGTGAAAGCTGGGATGATGTCCGAGCAGTGGTCATGTTCACGGCAACACTTATCCGCTCTCTCAAACATACCTGGGCACAAGAAAAGGAGATTCAAAGCTGTTTGCATGACAAGAATTCAAGGTTTAGGATCGAAGAGTTGATTTGATTTTAAATAAAAGCTATTTTGAGAAGGGAGATAAGGGTCTGAGGATAATTCTAACATATAATATATTATATTTGTCTTTTAAAATATGAACAACTCTATTTTTTCCAATAAATATGCTGTTTATATGGCTAAAGAGCTAATTGTGTGTGATTTAATGTCACTAATAAAAATTTCACTGCATTCTGTTTGAATTGATTTGATCTATCATTTGAAATCTGGCTAAATTTATTAGTCCTCCAAAACACAGGTTAGCAGCAATAATTTTATCAGATTCTTTATAAATAAAATTGATTCTATTAAATATAAGATCATTAGCAACCCTCTAAATATGATCGGTTTACCTCCGGATGGTGAGGCAGCATCTCAACCTAACTATAGTATCTTCATCTAAGCATTCAACTTGTGTTAGATCCCATTCCAAACAAGTTATTTAAGGAACTATTTTTCCTGATTTCCACCTCCATCTTAGTTACAATTAACCTATCATTGTTACAGGGATATGTACCTCGGGCTTTTAAGGTGCAATTAAAACTTTACTTAAGAAACCATCTCCTGACCCAGTTGACTTGGTCAATTATAGACCTATATCCAATCTTAATTTCTTATCTAAAATTATTGAGAAAGTAGTTGCCAAACAAGTTTGAGACCTCTGTGACTATACCATAATTAACTTTTTGAAGAGTTTCAGTCTGGTTTTGGAGGTCATCATAGCACTGAACCAGCTCTGATGAAAGTCACTAATGATATTCTCATGGCCTCAGATATAGACCCCTTTTGTCTTTCTTGGAGCAATTGGCCTTATCTGAAGGCCCAATTTGTGGAATATTAACTGTCCTGATTACTATTCATCTTCTCTGATGTTACAATAGGCCTCATGGATACTACTTTGTGCTCTCTGTGTTTAGCATGTCGGTTTATCAAGGGATGTGCCTGCCTGGGGTAGATTTGCAGTTGTGCCCAATTTTTTCAGTTTTTGGATGCAAGATTTTCTGTGAAAACTATAAGCTCTGGATATAGTTTTTTTTTTTTTTTTTTTTATTAAACCTAACCCGGCTTCAAACATTTATATTTTCATCTGCTGTGTTATTTTGTTTTATTGGTGCTTTGTGTTCAACAAATCATGTTCTTTGACAGACCTCTGACTCCGTTACAGCAGAGATAGATTTATGTTGAGATTGAATTACACTAAGTTGGATTCTAGTTACAGTTATTCAATATCAAGAAGCGTTTGGTCTATCCCTGTTTCACCAAAGGGTATCACAGTAACAGGGATGCATGCTTTTTCTTATCTTTGGAAAGGTTCAAGAAAAACATTTTGTTCAACTTTTGGGTCTGACACCTAAAATCCTGATTAAAGGGTTATAATATAACCAAATATGGAAAACGTCAGGAACTGTAAAGACGTTTTTTGTTAAAAAAAAAAAGAAAAAAGGAAATACTTGCTGGTTTGTTCTTTAGATTTACTGCAGTGTCTTGTGTAAACGTGCAAAAGTAGTGAAACTATTTAGCAGTCATGCGGAATAAGTGAGGAATGTCAATAAAATCTCAGAGTTTTTCCATTCATTCAGAGCACATGTGGCTCAAGGCTATTATATCATGAGAACTATATTCAATAATAATGTGAGAAAACATTGTAAGAATAAATAAATAAATAAAAAACAATAAGTGAGGCAAAGTCAGAATGTATTTAAGTGAATAAAACAACCTTACCCAATTGTTCATACTCGGCCGCTTTGCTTCCAGTTCCACACCACAGCGTGCCTGGGAATATCCAGGAGCGTTTCCTCCGGGTTTTCCTCCCTGTCTCCTCATTCCTGGAAGGCACTGGAGCGCACGGAGCATCAGGGGACAGCAGCAGACTGATGTTAAACCTGGGGACAATTTCCCGATTCCAGGTCTGTGTTCTGTTGCAATAGGCGTGATATCCTTCGGTAACATCTGGATTTGGATTGATTTCGCACTCTGCAAGCCGCAGGTCATCAGACCACTTGGTGAGATACAAAGAGCGCTCACCGGTGGGGTCCTGGTGCAGAAAGGTGAGCAGTATGTGTCCGTCTGCAGGACTCCACCTGAGGCAGGACACACCTGGTCCAGGTGTGTTTTGTGCTTTAGATAAAGCGAGCCATGACAAGACAAAAAAAGCTGTAAGGAACCATCCGTTTTCCATTTCAATCTATAGGCAAACAAGTCCTAGTTTATAATTAATGTCTGCATGGGTATGTTCTATTGCAAGGATTGAGATACCTGGTTTGGGGTTTGCTTTTTTTGCAGAGCACTCCTAAATTTCAGTCTCTCTGACTTAGACAACGTAGAAATGCAAAGTGTTCTTATTGGTCCGTGGATTTGGAGAAATTTGACACTTTACGCACAAGGCTGTGAAATCCTGTGTAAGCCTTTAATGATTCCTCTAGTTGGGGCTATACTTGTGAGGTCCTAAAAATGGGAGCACAGCATAACCTGACCGGTTGTTTATGCCGAAATTAGGAACAAAAATATTTTGTAGCTCTTGTGGAAGATGAAAATCAAATAATTGAATTAAAGATTTATGTAGCTGATATATAGAATGAGCTCTAAATCATCTACATTGAAATTCTAAACTAGTTTTAATAATAACTAGTTTTGCATGTCTTAAGGGTGTTTTTTTTATTATTTATTTGTCCTGCACTGATTTATTTATTAGATTAAATATGGTCTTTATCCATAATTCCACAGGTATTAGGAGATTAATTAGTAATTTATCATCACGTTATGTTATTATTGTCATTAACTCATGCCATCTCTACCTTTTCCAGCATCCCAGTCTCATTAAACTTCAGAATCTTGGTCTACATTAGCTCCATAATGTATTTGGCTTCAGGTGTAGGGGATCTATTTTTAAATGGCTGAATGCAGCAGTGGTTCAGGACCAGATTTATAAAGGGTGTGCCTGTGTTATCACTGGGAAACAGAAAAGCATGAAACAAAAGCAGGGCAATAGTTTATCATTTAAAATATATTAGTATAACCACTTCTGGCTCTGCCCTGAAGAAACATTTCCATTTCATCTAGTTTAATTACAATTTTATTTTGTTACAATTGTATTTTTGATTTTAAAATATTAATGTTACTTAACCCTACCTTACAAATCGTTTACAATGGGAAAATAAACTAAATAAGGAGAGAGTAAAGAGGGTATAGTTTTAACTAAACATTAGATAGAAAAAATGTGTTAGGTTAGATGAGAGCCAAAAATTAAGACATACTAAGGTGCTGACCAAAGATCCAGTTAAAAAGGTGTGTTACCCTAATTTTTAAAATGAAGAAATGAAACAGGAATAAAAATTAAACTTTTTAACACAAATATGGCTTATTAAGTAGTCTGAGTTATTTATTTAAACATATTCTCTTTGTGTTTAATCAAACTGGGGCTGTCTAAATCCTCATTGGAGCCAAACCTCCCTTAGTTCGTCCGGTAATGTTTAAATCTCAAATACAGCAGAAAAAAAGGAAAGGGTGATTAATAGAAGAATACAAGGAAGAAAGCTAAGACACAATGGATGAATGAATGATACAAAGAAAGCATGAGATAAAATCTGAAAATACAAACTTTTCCTTGCTTTTATATTCTTTATGTTCTAAAACTGACACATTTTTCTCTTCTTCTAGGATGAACATGAAATTTTATTGCCTTCACTTAATGCTCAGTCTTATCTAACATATTTATTACGTATTGTCCAACATTTTAAAGTCATTTGTTTTGATTTCTTCCAAAAAGCTGAAATGATAAAATCTTACAGGAAAACTCCAAAGACACATCAATTTGCATTAAATTTTATTGGTCTGTGTAAACTTTCTGCAAAACCTTTACATGCAAAGTCATTAGCAAACATACAGAATTCGACTTCATGCACTATCTATGTACAAGTACAGAGATTAAGGAACATTCCACTGAACTGGCAGAATCAAGTAGAAGGCGGCTATAACTTGAGCTCAGGCAGAAGCCAGTTGTTTTGTTTTTACAAGCAATCGATCATATCTTCATGATCAGCTGTTGAAGTAGCACAGTGTAGTACAAGGTCACTGTCACATCTGGGCATTGATTTACTCAGAAAACAACACACTGGTAAGCTTTATGTGTGCATTTACAGAATCTCTCAGTTTAACATGAAGATTTCAATCTGCTACTCATAGACCTCCTATGTATATATGCTCAGTGACTGCTTTTTTTTTAAATCCCATGTATACTAGCAAACCAGCTTATCTGGATTTGTCGATATTGTTATAGTCATGCAGAGTATGGCCTCTGTGTCAAAAGGAATGTTATGGTGAAGAGTGTAAACATTAATGAAGATACAATAGCGTTTATTTCTAACAAATATAAATACACACATGTATATATGTATATATATGTATATTATATATATATACACATATAGTATAACATCATGCATAGGATTTTTTTTGTCTTTGTATTAACACTGGAATAACTTGCAGACAATTTTCTGTATAAATAGAGGTCATTCCACTGTTTAAGGTGTGCTTTGCTTAATTTGCTTTAATTAGTGAACAAACACTCACTGAAGCTTTTGATAATCAGGGTGGGGAGGAGGGAGGGAGAGAGAGAGAGAGAGGGGAGGGGGGCTGATGATCAGGGTAAAAGCGGGCTAAAGCAGCCCCAGGCACATGAGAGTCACAAGCACAGTGCATGCAGGTAAAAGCTGCACATACTTTCCACATGACTTGCTCCATCTTCTCTCTCCTGTAAACGACTAGGACACTTTACCGTCTGTGTTCAGTGTAAACATTACAGTAAAAAACCCTCTGAGGCGTCAGAGTGAACTGCGAGCTTTGAACGAGCAGAGGTAGCAGGACGTGATTCTGTTTGTTTTCTTTTTTTATCCCCCCCCGTAAAGAAATGAAATGAATCAATATCTTGGTTCCAGTTTCTCTTAACACATAGATATTACGCCCTACAAACATAAAACAGCACACACATCTTGAATAACACAGCAGAAAAACAGTTGTCAAACTAAACAGGTGTGCCATATTTATTTCTTTTTTAAACCACAAATTAACAGCAACTGCTTACGGTTTATTCTAGCTCATAGTTCACTCACATATGAATCATCTAAATCAGATGTCTATCCTAACCTGAGCAATGTATCATATGTAAACATTTCTTTGTGTAAATATACAGTGTGTTCGTACAGCTGAATTATTTTAAAGTGCAGCTGGGGCCTGGCATGCTTATAGAGCTCTATATGCTTCAAACAGCAACTGTGTAAGGAGTTTAGGTTGTGGGTTGAGTTATGGCCTTTGTGAGTGCTGATGATGGTTCTAATGCCATAACATATTGCTTTTCCTGATCTTTTCTAGTGCGATTCAAACTTCATTTCCCTCAGCGAATAAATGTGTCTCTGCAAAGGATTTCTGATGGATCTGAAGGCCTTTTCGATGAAAGTTTTTTAAACTTGCTTTTCTTGTTTTTCATTTTTTACATAATGGGATTTGTGCCATAGGCTAATTGGGTATCAGGAGTGAAAGCGCTACAAAGAAAAATTAGGGAATTACTGCTGAATACAGAGAAGGAAGAAACAGTGCCTGCACGTTCAGGTATGATCCAATTATTATTAAAAAAAACAAAACAACAGAACTTCATTTTTAAAAGTGCAGCAAGACATGAATGCAATCTGATTCGTTGTGCGCTACTGGTGCATGGTTAATCACTAGCGACGTGATTCTCAATCACTAAGGTGTGCCAGTGCTCAATCTTCTTGTCCTTGTTCTTCAAGCACTCATACCAGTGCTTCAGCCTTTCCCCTTTGGCGGTAATGCCCAGCTGGCAGCCACCTGTCAGAGAGGAGGGGTACGTGAGACGCAGGTGAGAGATTCCAGCTTTCATTGCATCACAGGAATCCTAAATAGCACATCCCAAAAGTATTCATACCCCCCTTCGCTTTCTATTACTTTTTATGCACATTACAACCACAAATTTCACTCTTAGTTACTTACAATATATGACTGTGTATACATTTTAAAAATAAAAAGTAATTCAGATCCATTTCAAGATTAATCTTCCTGACAAAAATTAAATGCAATGAATTCCCTAGACCAGTTCCTCAAACACTAAACAGATTCCAACTTCATTTTATTTAATCTTGGTGTGAATTTGAGTGTTCTGTGGAGGCTTCAGTTTACAGAAGACAGTTGTGTGGAAATGTAAAGCAGAGTTAGAATATATATATAAATGGAAGAGGCATGGCATAACCACAAAGCCATGTGAAACTCAGTTTAAAGGCTACTACAATCCATGTAGTAGATTTAAAAAAGCATGTAGGAGAAGCTGTTGAGGACATTAGATCAAACCATTATAGAAATATAGAATTAGGTGGTCACAGCATCTTAAGTAGTGTTACTTTTCTTCAGCAGAGACCTGGTTAAAGTTGAGGTGATGTATGGAATATATTTAAAAACAAAACCTTGTTGGATAGCAATAAATAGATTTGGGATGATTTTTTCCCTCCAGCAGCAAAGCATCCCCAAAGTTAGAACTAAGGCCTCCATGCGACGGTTTAGATACATTGAAGCTAAAATGTTAAAGGGACATGCATACTTTTGCAAGATGCTATGGTAGTGCAGATATTCACCTATGTAATCGTTGGACTTCCCGATGTCATAATCCCACACAGAGATGTCTAAGGTCTTCTTGGCCAGCTCACTGTGTTTGATGTCGAAGCTAAACTCCTGAAACGTGATCCAGAGATTGAAGCAGTTATTAAGGCTTTACAAACTGGTATAAATGAAATCACTTGATGAGAACAATCCTCTCTGATGCTTCAGTTTCTTTCTAACCTCGTTAAACTCTGGGTTTAAAGTCCTCTTCTTGATCTGTGTTTTGCACTTGCCCTTTTTCCCCATGTCAGGTTTCAGGCATCTGCAAATTAAACACAGGCACAATGTAATTTACGCCTTTACTAGTGTCACCTAATTACAGTGCAAAATGATATTTTCCTCCACCAGTTCAACCTACATTTTGACATATGGGTCAGAGTAGCCATTAGCATCCATGGCAGCCAAGTGAACGCAGCGAACGACCCCCACGATGAGGCGATTCTGCTGGGTGCTGTACATGAGCGACATCAGAATGCGACCGCGCTCCTCTGCTTCTGCGCCCTCTTTCCCTGACTGAGACAGAGGAAAGGGGGGAAAGACTGATTATTAACATCTGCATGAACCTCGGAAGGAATGTGTCACGTTTAGACATGCTTCGAAATGATCACTACCTCATCTTCGTAGAGAGAGATCCCTCTAGCTGATCCGGCTGTCGCAGTTCTCTTAGTCTGTGTCGAGAAACAAGACCAAAAAAGTTCATTAGATGGTTCAAACAAGCAGAGAAAAAAAAGCCTTTGCTTCAGTTTTTTAAATTCTTTAATCAGCTTCCTCACAGGCACAACCCTCTCTAGGCAAACATTGAAGGTCTTCTTCTGATTCATCTTCAGCTTCTTCAGTGCAACGCGGGTTTCGCCGATAAACTCATTGTGGCCAAATTTATCTTCATCGCAGACAGAAAGCCTGTGACAAATCAATAAAGGATGCAAATTAAAAGAGGTGGTTGCTACTGAAGTGGTTGGTTGGCATGCTTGCGTGAGGTCAGTTGTTCACCTGAGGGTTTTACGTTGCATGTCGTCGTCTGTCAGGCCATGGTAGGTGAGTGTTTCATTCCACACAGGGTTACGGGTGTTTCTCAGGGTCTTTGTGCGCAGCTTGTTCGACTAATGATTGTCAAGTAGATACAAAAAAAAGAAAAAATTCTTTAAGTCATCATGTTTGGTTTTGTTACATTTAAACCACCACAAGGTGTCAGACTTGAGCTACACCAGATGGTTCCCATCAAAGCGGAAAGGATCTAAAACCCCCTTATGTCATGCATTTATTTAAAAAAATGTATGATATTAAGGTTCTATTCATTTTCCATGGAAATAGGATTCCTGTATATTTTTAAAGACAAATAATACCTTTTTTGTTCATTTCAAATATCCTGTTTTTGGTCTGATTTCAAAGAAAAAATCCAGATGTTGACGACAAATTTACTACAGATATTTCAACAAAATGGATGGATGGATGGATGGATGGATGGATGGATGGATGGATGGATGGATGGATGGATGGATGGATGGATGGACGGACAGAAGGATGGATGGATGGACGAATGCATGGATGGATGGATGGATGCATTCATGGATGGATGGCTGGGTGGAAGGACGGACGGACAGAAGGATGGATGGATGGATCGACGGATGCATGGATGGATAGATGGATGGATGGATTGATGGATGGATTCATAGATGGATGGGTGGACAGATGGATGGATGGACGGATGCATGGAATAGACGCATGGATGGATGGATGGATGGATGGATGGATGGATGGATGGATGGATGGATGGATGGATGGATGGATGGATGGATG